ACTGGAGAGAAATGGAGGCCGGTTCTGTAAAAAAAGGATGGACCAACCTCCTATACTTCAGGAAAGATGCTTGGCTGACGACGAGGGAGCTCCATCCCTACAGTTTCAAGCTAAAATATGATTCTGACCTTGATTCAATATTTCGAAGTCTTGAACCTGCACGTAGAAAGTATTCTGGCTGCCGAAAAATGAGGACGGTGGGTTCAGGGTTTGGGATGTGACCAAAATGTCATGTCGCAACACAGCCAAACAGCGCTCACGAAAATTTGGTTGTGCAAAACAATATGCAAAACACTGTAACCATTGTTGACAATGTTGGGGTACTGTTTACATGGTCTGTGCACATTTCCAAATAGCTGTTGTCAGGTTCAGGGTACATATCCAAAAAAGGAAATATAAGTATTTCTAGTAAAAGAATAGCAGAAAAATCACAAAAAAATGGAGTTGGTATATGCAGTGTATACAATATGGGGCACTGCCTTCAGGGTCCATGTCAGGGCCATTTATATATACCCACAAAAGGAAATATGATCTTGTATGACGAAAAAGTCAAGAAATTCAAGATAATGAGGATTCTGCTTATCAGGGTTCATTCAATGGGATGTCAGGATGATGGTCACATGACCAATTACCAAAAATGGTCAAAAACAAAAGTTGTAGCTGGCACTGTAGCTTCCCAAATTTGGTTGAATTGTGTTCTGAGGTGCTCCCATTGTGGAGATATGAGATAAAAGATTTTCAAAAGTGGATTCCAGTCCATACATGTGGAATCCGGTGGAATCCAGCGGAATATGTAGGGCATCAAAAAGTACAGGCAGCAATGGTGAAAAATTGGAGGTCTTTATTGTCCCCCTGTAATCTCTGCCAAGCTCAGCTCAACTCTGTCAGAGCTCTGCCAAGCTTGGGTGGTTTTTAAGGTAGGGGGGGAAAAAGTTGGCTGGGGGTGTACTTTACAGTTCCCCCTGATTCCTGCAGGACTGGACAGAGTCCTGCAGGAATCCTCAGAACTCTGCCAAGCATGGCAGAGATTGGCAGGATGTCTGCTAAATTGTAGTCTAAGTCTGACTTTCATAGTCTTTTGTAGTTCTATCACTAAACTTTGTAATCTAAGTCCAACTTTCATAGTCTATTAGTAAACCTTGTAGTGTACGTCTGACTTTTGTAAACTTTGTAGTCTGACAGTGTCAGTTTCCCTTTCAGGGCATGCACCTTCCTCTTTTGATAATTTTCCCATAATATAATAATTATAGCCCTTACTCTTAGCCTTCTAAATATCCAACACTCTTGAAAATTCTTTACTTCATTTCTCCACACCAGAAACACTTCAGAACATAATTCAGGAAGCTACAGTATAGGTCTACAACTTTGATTTTGACCATTTTTGGTAACTGGTCATGTGACCAACATCTCAACATCCCCTTACATGGACCTGAATCATGTTTCTTCACTTTTGGGTCAAACCATATGAGATTTCCTTTTTGGGATGGACCCTAAAGTAGACCCTGAAGGTAGTGCCCAACAGAATTTT